TGTTGACGAACTGCTTACACTCTTTAGACATTCATCTAGATGTGAGGAATACAGCCGGGGTTATATTACTTGTTATTGTACCGTATTTATCAAATTGTATTAGTTTTTCCTATTTGCTGTCTTGGCACTCGAATTAAAGTCTGAATATTATAATTAGATGGTAATAAAATATGGTAATTAACACAGATACTTCAAAACTAAATCTTCGTCTAAGTGTAGAAAGAAAATTCTCAAGTTTAGTCATGATTGAAGTTTGTGGACTGAAGTCAAGTTGTTTAACTGTAGGACTAGTCAATCAGCTTTGGCGAAAGCATCTAAAACATTTCCTTAGTGTTTTGAAGGTTGTATCTCTCACCACTTTAGTTGTTAGCAAGTAAGCTATTGGACTGGCAGCTGTTGCAATTAGCAATATAGAGTAGAGGATGTCAAGCAAGAAGAAGGTCCTTGAGTCCCTCTCTTTGTAGATGAGCTCTGGTGCACTTATAAGGATAACCCAAGGAATTGCAGAGGCAATGTTGAGAAGCAAAATCACCACAATAGACCAAGGAAAAGATTCCCGCTCTGTTTTAATCTTCTTTTCTATGGCAACTACCCTGTCGTCAGATTCCAGTGAGGAGTTTAGATGTTCCGTCTCTGATGTTTTGGATAGTGATGTTGGCTTTGTAGAAAGAGCTCCATGAGATTCCCTTGCATTTCTTATGATTTTGTAGATAATACTGTACATGACTGCAACTGCTACTTTTGGGGCAATCAATCCAAAGCCACAAGAGAGGGTGAAGCAGGCCACACATTTAACTGTCCAGGCTTTGGCCAGAACACACTGCTTATTGAACATTTGCAACTCACAAAGCTGAAGCAAAGGAAGGAAGCCAAGTAGAAATGTTACCAGCAATGCCACACCGAACCCTACTAATTGGTTTCTGTACGTCACAATTTCTCTCCAGCAAAGTGGATACGTCAGGAAAACAACTCTTACAACTGTCACAGCTAAAACTGCCATTGCAGGCATGATTATCCCTGATGAAATTGAGAATCGAAAATTAAAGAGAATTGTTAAATTAAAAAGTAAATCTAGTTAGATTTAATTGTGTGAAGGGTTTTAATTAAAAACTGTCATGCAATGTGTATGATATAAAGAAACAACATGAAAATGTGTCTGAAAATGTAAGGCCTGAAAATGCTTTCTTAAACCGACCTGTTAGCTGAAAAGAGATGTTCATTTGATCTGATGCTCCATCACAATTTGGTACTTTTCCTGGGTTTATCTGCAAGAGTAAAGCTCATAATTACACCTGATGAAATTGTAACATCCAATCTTTCGAGTCAATTCAAATTATGAAATTAAAAAGAGGGTTAGCCATCATTGGAATAGCTAACGATTTTCATTTGATCAAAAGATTTACCAGATCATGAAGGAGTAAGATGATGATTTGGGTTGCAAAGTACAGTATTGAGAGGGCATAGAATATCACTGACATATACAGTTTCATTATAGGTCGCAGGTGTCTGATTATAATGTAAACAAGCAGCAGAGAAAAGAATACCATCATAATAATAGAAGGTATCATAACCACTCTTGTAATGTAAAACTTGTTATACACAAACTCTGAAGTTTGGTTACTTTCATTTTGAGCCACGCCCAGTTCTTCATTATATGGTGTTTCAGTTAAGTATTCGAAAGGGTTCACCATATTAATAGGTTTAATCTTCTGCGGTGTCCCGAATGGGTTTGGCATTACATTGAACATTACTGGATACATCGTACGGTCCTTCATGACAGTAGGTTTGAACGATTCCAGCTGGTCAGTCTTAACTGTCAAAACTTCCATATTTCCAGGACTAGTCTCATCCATGACATACAAAACTAAGCTGAAATCAAGCAACAATTAGTTTCAAACCAAATTTGAATACAGTATATAAAATTTTCTAGCTGTTTGCTTTATGAGCAAAATAGTGCAGATTTGCAATGACTTAAAAGCATACTAAAACCATAAACGTGTAAAAAAATAAATCAGCACATCCACAGCAGGACTGTAAGAACAGTGGAAACTAGTTGCCACCTTGGTGGTTGTTGACAAATCAATATTCATGAGCTAGAGTGTCATTTTAATTGTTATGGGGCCAGGGGAGTAGTCAGTAGGTTACAAAAGCCAGACCGCCTCCAAGCATATCCTCATAAAAAGTCATTGTAATCAAGTATTGGTAGTTTATAAAATGTGACGGACAACAGCAAGATCTTGTGACTTGAAGCATTGAACATTATGTTCCATGGCTATGGTCTGCATTATCTGAACAATAACTAGGTTTATAATAATGATATGAAAGGAGGTCACCTTGACAACATGCATGTGCCAATAATGAGTTATGAACAGTCGCTTATCTCTCTAGTTTAGTGCAAACTAACTAAGCTAGATCAAACGAAACTAGAGCAAACTAAGCTCTAGAGCAAACTAAGCCAGAACAAGCTAAGCTAAAACAAAGGAGAAACTTATCGTCTGAAATTAGAGAAGCAATTAAGGCCACAGGGGGGGGGGGGGGGGGTCGAGGCTTCAAAAAATGTAAAAAAACATTATGCTTTGAATCAATATATATTTTTGTGGTGGATACTTTGCCACCACTCATTTGTCTGTAGCTATTTTACTTTTTTTAATAAATGAGGTTAACCAATTCTCATTTAACCTCATTTTTTTGATAAATCGATAATGGAGGGCAGAAATATTGATGCCATTACAACTGAAAACTACGATAAGCTTTGTTTTTATTGTTTTTGTGTTATTTCAGCAGTTAAACTTTGAAAAATATACAAATTAAGGCAAAATACTCAAAAATCACATAACATAAAAAACAGTTTTTTGCCTCTCCTGAAAACCTCGAATTTTTGACTTTAAAATCTATCTTCTCCTAGAGTTTTTATCCATTTCACCTCAAATTTGGAACTTATGTTCCTGACATAAATTTAAAAGTTTGTTATGTAACGATTGTTGTAATTTTGCTCCTAACTCTTTTTATGAGGTTAACCATTTTAAATTTTGTTACCCGCACTCATGGTTAACCTCATATCTCAGCTTTGGAGCAAGATATCATAAATCGTTACATAACAAAAACTCAAAATACCTTGAAGAACACTGTTGCCAAGTTACAAGGTTCTAAGTCATAAACTGAAAAAGAAGATAGATTTTGAACACGATTTCATTTAAAGTTTTCATTTACAATAGAATTACAGGTAAACCTCAAAATTCAACGCGCGATATCTTCAAATAGGAAACTTTGTTTTCGGTAAGGACAAAAGCATTTGAAAATTTAGATCGAGCTCTACAACATATCTCAAAATCTCAAAATCGACCTCGGACCCCCCCCCTGTGGCCTTAAGATGGCAGCAGTAGTATCAGGTAGATTACACGGAAGAAAGTCGTTGACAGACAGACTACAGTTAAACAGAAAACCTAGCTTAAACAAAGTCTACTTTGTCTATCCTACATGCTTCCTTCTCAACACAGTGGTTATACAACTTTTTCTATTTTGGTTGAAGGACTGCGAATACCCTCAAATTGTCACCTCTATTTAACTCAGGCTTTGAATTAACTCAATTGTAATGAACAAAATATAACAATGAATGAGAGATAAACCACATTCTAAAATAACACATTGCAGATAACATTTAATAGTAAAATACATAATATTAACAAGGTGTGCCGCACGGTAGGTAATGTGAGTGTATTAACAACACGGCTACTTTGGTGTGCAGTACCTCCTCTCCTTGTCATTATATTCAGTGCTTATTTCAGAAGTGGTATTTCACAATTACAATTACAAATATACTGGCAAACTTTTAAAATAATCTCGACATAAAGAACAAAGAGTGTTGTATGAACTGTTGTTTGAGGTGATTGGCAATGTTGTTGGGATGTTAGATGACACAGCATCGTGCTCATGCAATTAACAAGTTAATGAAACTCCCATAGTAATTAGTCCTCCTCACTTTTTCATTAATTACAGCGACTTTAAGGAACAACGTAAGAGCAGTTAGTTCATGACGAAAAGGATTTAACGTAATATTTGGGGTATAAACTGTATCAAAAGCAATAATTCCAGCAGATATCTGGAGGCTTGTTACTCCGTAAAATACAGTATGTTTAAATAATAAATATGTTTAAATATGTTTATAGATTAGACTAGAGATTGGCGGTGTATACTGTATATTTCAATACTTGCACCCATAATTTAAATCGTCCATCATCAGAAGTTTATATTAACTAGATTATTAAGAATTAAACACCACGCCATCGGGGTACTAATGTAATTATAATGAGGATATTTGAACAATACTCTAGTAGCAACAATGTATATATAATATAATAATATTATATTACATAGTCATAGTACATAAAATGAACAATGTGGATAACAAATGAGGCGAATATTAAGGTTTAGAATATCTGATTATCTGAATTGGCTTTATATTTTACTAGTGTAACCTGTGCCAATGGCCGGGACTTCACTATCGCAGTTGAATTGCAAAAGTATTAACAGTGCAAAAGTTAAAATTGTGCAAAAGTATAAACTCGCTCAGTTGAAACCGACCGCATTAGAGTAAGTTTAATTCTGAGCGCCCATCACGTAATACGTATCCAATAGTAATACTTAATAGGCTCCTAAATGGGGAGAGAGAGTGAGAGAGAAGGTGGGAGAGAGGGACAAAAATTGAGTCACTTTAATATCACATTTGCAGTACAACTATTGTGCTATAGTAAACACTACTATTGGTTATTGTGCTATAGTAAACACTACTATTGGTTATTGTGCTATAGTAAACACTACCATTGGTTATTGTGCTATAGTAAACACTACTATTGGTTATTGTGCTATAGTACACACTACTTTTGGTTATTGTGCTATTGTAAACACTACTAATGGTTACTGTGCTGACCGAATACTATTTCTTGTTTTTTATTACCAGCGTGATAATGATAGTTAAAGCTGTCAAAAAGATTTAATCAATCCTTGTACTTAAGTAATTACAGTAGGTATGGCGGACCGTACGAACTACCAGAATAGACAGTGGATGGGAGGCTGGAATGACCCTCCTCCAACTGTATTAGCAAACCAGGACAAGTATAAAGGGAGACAGTCCATCGTGTCTAAACAGGCCCGTCCCGGTGCTAGGTAACCTTACTTTTTACCTTTTAAAGCTTTGTGCGAGTGTTTCTCATATTTTACGTGCTTCTTATTACGACTAGTAGCACGACTTCAGTTAAAAGAGACTGTTTATTAATATGTATCATGTAGTCCTGAATTCTGAGACCGTTACAATTACTCCATCTCAGGAGTTACCCTAGTAATCCACTTGTAAGTGGTACTGGAGTTGCGGGTCACCAATTGGCAATGACTCCAGGCGCTGGTGGATATTCTAACCCTCAAGGTGGCTACAATAGCCCCCAAGCTCAAGGTGGCTACAATAGCCCCCAAGCTCAAGGTGGCTACAATAGCCCCCAAGCTCAAGGTGGCTACAATAACCCTCAGGGAGGCTACTCAAGTCCACAGGGTGGTTATAATTCTGGTGGTTATAATAACCAAGCGTACGGAGGACAGGGTAAGTTGAGGAATGTTTGGTATTTGCTGACCTATACTTGCTATACTTGCTATACTTGCTATACTTGCTATACTTGTTATACTTGCTATACTTGCTATACTTGCTATACTTGCTATACTTGCTATACTTGCTGAATCTATCTTTACAAACTAAAAAAGCTAAGCTTTCTTTGGGCTGATCACGGTGCTCACCTCTCCATGCCAAATAGAAGCTAATTTATCGACATGCAGATAAAGTGCTGAATTTAAGGAGGAGTTAGAAGGATAGGATAGAGAGAGAAAGGCTAAAGCTGCTTCATAGTTAGATGGCAGTTATCGTGGCGAGGTAGCACAGAAGCATTGACATATCTCCTAAATAAGCAAGATAGTGCATAACTATAAGTTTCTGTAAGTATTGGGCCTGTCTAGCCATTGTCAAACACTTTCTACCCCTAGTAATGCCTTCCTTGCTCAATAAGAAAACATGAAAAACCTCCGGCTTCCCATGATAATCGTCATCTAACAAACCACGTGATCAGACCACGTGATACAAAACATGACCACCTGGTACCCAGGTGGGGATCATTACCAAACTACACACGGTAACCACGGTAACGCGGGCTCCTGGTCTATAACAGACTATCTTCGTGCGGGAATAGACAAGATAGACGTTAATTCTATTAACCAAACTCTTAATAGCTGGACTGAGAAAATAGGTACGACATTGTTCAGTTCTGTGTTTGGTACGACATTGTTCAGTTCTGTGTTTGGTACGACAAATTTGTTCACTTCTGTGTTTGTAACGACATTGTTCAGTTCTGTATTTGATGACTAAAAGGCACTTTTTATCTGTGTTTGATGTGCTAAAATTCTACTAAATGATAATTGTCTGCATGTTGTAATAAACCATTATAGTGCACGAATGATTACATTTTTAAATTAATTCTTTTTAGTTTTCTCTAATTATACTGAAATTTGTATAATAAGATAATAGACTCAATTTAGGGTGATAAAATTAAGAAATGAAAACTCTGGCCCCTTCTGAATTAATCAACCAATTATTTGTAAGAACTCAGTTTGCATTAAACTCTTTCCTTTTTCAGGTGCCTACACTTACAGCATGCCACAGGCTCAGAACAACGTATCAAAGAATCAGGACCACTTGTTTTCAGCTAATTCGCCACAGTACAACAGTTACAACAACAACCAGTACGACAACACCCAGTCCAACAACACCCAGTTCAACAACAACCAGTCCAACAACAACCAGTACAACCAGCAATACAACAGCCAGCAGCCAAGCCAGTATAACCAACAGTACAGCCAACAAGGAGCACAAAATGACCCTCAGTTTGAGCAACAAGCCCAGCAACAGTACGCTCAACAGATGTACAACCAACAGAAGTACGATTACGATCAGTTCTCCATGTACCGAGGTCCTGAGGATCCAGCTCCCCCTCCTATTATGAGTCCTTCTGCACAACCTGCTGCACAACCTGCTGCACAACCTGCTGCACAACCTGCTGCACAACCTGCTGCACAACCTGCTGCACAACCTGCTGCACAACCTGCTGCACAACCTGCTGCACAACCTGCTGCACAACCTGCTGCACAACCTGCTGCACAACCTGCTGCGCAACCTGCTGCGCAACCTGCTGCACAACCTGCTGCTCCAGCACCGGAAATAGTTCAACAGCAACACTACCAACCCCAGCCAGTTGTTGAGCCGGTTCAGACCAGTGAGCCAGTGGCAATGCCAGTACCGGCAGTAGAGCAGAGCCAGGATTATTATCAGCAGTACTACAACTACGCGGCTCAACCTGACCAGCCCAGTTTCCAGGCTGATTATGGAGCGGTTCCAAGTATACCAACTGCTCAGCCAACACCAATACAAGACCAGGGTGGTCTCTACCAATCTTGGCAACCACATGAGTTTAATACTCAGCCTCAGCTCTCAACAGAGTTCATGGCCCAACATATTCCTGCTGAAACTCTAGTTCAACCTGTGGAGCCCTTCCAAAAATCTTCAGAACTATTACAGGATCCTGTTGAAGCTTGTCCACAACCAGTTGAACCAACACCACAACCAGTTGAACCAACACCACATCCAGTTGAATCAACACCACAACCAGTTGAATCTATCCCTGCTGAAGCGATCCCTGAAACTGTTGAAATTGCTGACCCTCAGCAGGTTTCTGAGGATGTGTCCTCAATAACACCAGAGGAGAGTGCACCAGAAGCACCTGTCCAGACGAGTTTACCAGAACCTGCTACACCAGCACCAGAAGAGGAGCCAGTGGTTACGGTCCAACCTGAAACAGTACCTGATGTTGTAGATACCGAGCAAGTTGTATTGGAACAGGTTGAACCTGCAGTGGAGCCAGCTCAGGAGAGTGTAGTGACTCAGCCTGTTGATCCTGCTGACTTCTTCAGCTCATTCCCCTCTCAAATAAGTGAGCAACCTGTTGTGGAACCTGTTGTGGAACCTGTTGTGGAACCTGAAGTTACTGCACCTCCTATCCCACCTCAGCCAATAAGTGAACCTGTTTCTCAACCCAGTGCATTTGCGCCTCCTCCACTTACCTCATTCTCTGCTTTTGCTCCACCAACTGGTGGACCACCACCATTCAGTGGATCCTCTCCTTTTGGTGGACCTCAATCGCTAAGTGGACGTCCTCCTCTCGGTGGTCCTCCTCCTCTCGGTGGTCCTCCACCATCAGCTTTTGGCCCTCCACCTGTGCTATCTGGACCTCCTAATACTGCTAATATGTTTGCTCCGATATCTAGTGATACAGGTGCCAACCCATTCCGCTCTTCGCCCGGCCCGAGATCCTCCCCTGGAGCTAGAGCATCCCCTGGAGCTAGAGCATCCCCTGGAGCTAGAGCATCCCCTGGAGCTAGAGCATCCCCTGGAGCTAGAGCATCCCCTGGAGCTAGAGCATCCCCTGGTTCAAATGGTTCACCTGTTCCTCCTCCCTTCCTTCCTACTAGTATTGCTGCGTCTGAAGGCCCAGTATCTGAACTACCCAACTCACCCCCCATATTACCTGTGGAGAGTTTCGGAGGGGTCAGTATATTTAAACCAGCTCCAGTTGAATTGGAACCATCTGAACCGGCAAGTGCTGGGTGGGACAATAACTTCGACACTTGGGACGAAGATCTTGATAATGGTGATACCCTTAATAAAGATTTCGAGGACATTCAATTGTAGATAAATGTAGTGGGCACAAACTGTGCTTTTTGAAATTTATTCTGGTCGATTTCAATCGAATTTTGTGGATCAAAATGCATGCGAAAGAAATTTAAGAGTGCTGGTAACGTAACTTACACGTGATTTACACAGCACCTATGTTATTTTTGAGATGCCAATGAATTATGTTTCGGGAAAATTGGCGAAATTGTAAAGTTTCTCGAAAGAGTTCGATATTATGTAAATACTTATTCAAATCGCTTCGACAAAATTTTGAATCATTTAGCTTATAATTTCATGATTTGACTCATAATATTGAATGACAGCTGTTGTTTAAACTTGATGGTTTTAGATCTAGGATGATATTCCAGTGGCATTTTGCAGGGATTACAATTTGTCGATTATTGGGTCAGTGAACCTTGACTGAATTCAGTATATTTTAGATCTACAACTTTTTCTTAGAATTGGTGTGTCATTGTTTGTCTCTCTATGACCCAAGCCAAGTTGCTGTCACGAATTCGTGCCAATCCTAAGTCCACTTTTTGACTGTTGCTGTAATAATAAATAGGATCAAGAACTGAACCCGCTTGCCACGTAGAGATTTTCACCCGTGAAATTGTACATATTCGTAAGGCGCAATGTGTCTCAATAGAAAAAAGTTTTCATTTCTTGCGCAAGATCTGTGCGCGGCATAATCGACCACAATGACGCGCGCATACGTACCTGACTAGTTATTTTCATAATATGCAATAGCAACGTACCGAACTTCTCTTCATATCCTAACAATCTCTAGTCTATATAGGTAAATGTAAAAACACATCGTAAGCAATAAATTGCGACTAAAACTTTTTATTCAGTAATTATACAATGTAACGTTTTGAAGTACAGATAACAGAAGACGACCAAAATGTCATTATTCATTATTGTTGTATTTTACCAAAACCCATAATCATGGGTAGAGTGGACCGCTGTCAGTGTCTCTCTTTCCCAAACAAAAGGAAATGATATAACTTTGATTGACCGTTCTCAAATGCAAAATGATACCGAGAATGAAATCGGTCGCTCGGTTTTGGTAAAATATCATCTCTTTGATTATAATGTCAGGGTACTTTATAAAGTCGAAATATAAACTGATATCTTCGTTAATAAGGAGGAAGTTTCAACGATTTCGAAATTTTTCGGCTGTTCAGAACGTCGATTTCTGCGATTCTAATTAGACAGGATTACCCTAGGATTTATCCTAGCGCGTCCGAGATATCTCGGATTTTATCAATCCTAACGCCGATCCAGTCCCCCCAGGATACCTCCGATGAATTCCTATCGCCGAGCGGCGATAGGATGTGTAAGTTCCGAGAGGCGATAGGATTTGCTATCGGACCCGATAGGAAATTAAAAACCTATGTGACATTGCGCATTGTTAACACGAAACAAAACCGCGCAAAATATGAAGTGGTACGTCTACAACCAAACCACAAATCGACGTGACGGCGACACGTTTTGGAATCAACATCGAGAATACATCTAATGATGCTACTATCAATATCATATTATGTAAATGTTCAGGGCCCTTCTGTAAAAACATTAAGAATACATCTAATGATGCTACTATCAATATCATATTATGTAAATGTTCAGGGCCCTTCTGTAAAAACATTAAGAATACATCTAATGATGCTACTATCAATATCATATTATGTAAATGTTCAGGGCCCTTCTGTAAAAACATTAAGAATACATCTAATGATGCTACTATCAATATCATCTTACTATATATAAAGCGAGACGATATGCTGAGTGATAGCTCAGATGGTATCAGCTCGCAAGAAGATAGCGCAGATGAATGGGAAACACCAGCAGAAAACTCAAACCCAGACGTAAAACTGAAAGAGCTCGAAAAGAAAACAAAGGCACCCATTACTTCTAAAAACAAGCGCGCAAGAAAGAAAAAGGAAACATCTAAAGTTGGTACATCTACAGGATCTAATCAAACTGATACTTTGGTGAACTGCGACTCTTGTAGTCTTGTAAGTCCATAACAGAAGGCCCTCTGAAGGTGCTCCAGGAATGCCTAATTCGACTACAAGATGACATATGTAAGCAAAATGCAATCATCGAAAATCTTGCGATCCAAACCAGAACCATGCAGGAGCAACACCCCAACCCAAAAACTCCCCCGCCAAACAAGAGATTAGAAGCAAACAACAAACTAATATTCGAAACTCTCAATACCCAGCAAACTTGTTTGGACACAATTACAGACTCTCTCAGTAAAATGAAAAAAGATTACACTAAAACGAAGAACAAAATCGACGCCCTAGAGCCGAATGTGCAGAAAACGAAAAAGAGTATAACTACTGACCTGATGAATCCCACAACCAAGGTCAATAATAATGCAACATCTTCTCCGCAAGTTGCTAAACGAGAATGCATACCTGAGTATGCAGAAACCTCACAGCGTCAACAAACAATGATACTTTGTGTACTAGCAGCGTTGTGGCGTGACAACCAGGAACTGAAATCCTCCTTAAAAGAAATGAGAGGAATGTCCACCAAAGACAAATCTTTCGATCAAGCTAAAAGCAAAGCTGGAATAGAAAAGGAAAAGTCCTCAAACAACAATGGGGCTCAAAAAACCAGAGGCACTAATGAATTGAGTAACATGAAGCACCACAACACAGAGTTGTCTTCATTCAGTTCAACGACCAAGGAACCACAAAAGGATGCTTGTGCTATGACGGAAAACTCAGGAATCTTCAGAATCGCGGAAAAGGACCTCCCTCAAACTACCAACACATCAGAGAAAATAATCCTGAACAGCACAAAAACTAAGGAAAACGAAAAGAATGACGCCCCACCTGATGACTCGACAGATTGGAATATGTCAACAAACTCTGATTCGAGAAAACATCTACTTCCCAATCCTAAGACAAACCAGCTGAGGAAAACAAACATCCTAACCAACTGCAAAGCTAATCTTCCTTTTACTGGACCAAAGAGTAGTCAAAGCAAAAAGTTCAATACACACAAATGTCTCATTGTGCATGATGCTTACTTCGACAAATTCGAGCAGGACAAATTCTCACGAGTCTTTGACATCAGCCGTCTAAAAGAAAAATCTGCTGAATCTACCATCAAGAACGGAAATCTGATTTCACGGATCAAGGCAGTCAAACCAGAAACTGTAGTTATTCACGTTGGTTTCGGTGACGTGCTGTGCAATACAGAAGGCAACACCATAACAAATAACTTTAAAAAGATTATTTACAATGTTTTAGAGAATACCTCAACCAAACTATGTGTTTCGCTTATGATACCAGTACCAGGATACCCTGAAACCAATAGTAGACTACGGCAGATCAACAACACCTTAAGGGAATCTATATCCTGCGAAAGAACCTCTCACAAGTACAAGGATCGCCTATTTACAACCAACAACGACTCTCTAGGAGGATACATAGAAAGAAAAAGCAATGACAATGGAAAAGCAAGTATCCAACTTAGTGAACGTGGACAATCTAGGCTTTGGCTACGAGTACGTCTCAGAGACAGTCTGCAGCGCTGTGTAGGAATCCAAACACCATCAAAACAAACAAACAACAGAACCCTACGGAACGATTCACTACATGAATAACGATCACAAGAAAAGGCATAGTGAGGTAGAATATAAAAACTGTGATTTGTCGATCCTCTCCTGGAATATTCACGACATTAATCACCAAACCCTTGGGAAGAAAACGGATCAAAATGAATTTACCAGAATTCTAACCAGCGGTTTAATTTTCTGCCTCCAAGAAACAAAAGGGAATGTCGAGCTTCCCCAGTATAAATGTTTTAACAAACTAAGGTCTGACTCACGATCAGGTGGTCTCTGTATCGGTGTTCACAGATCTATTAGTGAATTTGTAAGGCCTATTATGTGTGAATCACAAGACATCTTGGCTGTAAATATCTCAACTACAGCTACTGGGCTCAGCAAGGACCTAATGCTTATAAATGTGTATGACTCTCCTCCCAACTCATCTTACAAATTAAAAAAGCTCGCCTTGGGCTCGGATGTAGACACAATGGGGCATACTCTTGAATTCATTGCGTCACTTAAGACCAAAGCGATACTTCTAGTTGGGGACTTCAACGCAAGAACAGGTAACCTTAACGCAGATGAAGCGGTTCAACCCTGCAATGAGGAATTCACAACAGGTCAAATCGAGTCCTACCCTTCTTACCACAAACAACGAGCAAGCAGGGACCCCGTCATCAATGACCGGGGTAAAAAATTTCTAGACTTAATTCAGAGCTGTAATATGTCTATCCTAAATGGATCCACTCTAGGTGACATATTTGGCGAATCGACGTCACACCAATACAATGGAACTAGTATTGTGGACTATATGGCATTATCAAACGACACACGACATGTCATCAAACATTTCAAAGTCCTTGAGCTCTCCGACCTATCAGACCATCGGCCGCTGCTGTGCTCTTTGAAATCAACTCAGAAAATAATAGACTCAGAATCAGCTCTCAACCTTTACGATGATGTACAAGAAAAGGTGCAGTGGAATGGTGAGCAATCAGCAGAAGAATACAAAGCAAGGCTCCTTAAGCTAAGTACGCTTAAAACTATCTCTGACCTTGTTGACGAAGTATGTCACTCTGAAGAAGACGTCCACAGACTTAACCTTAGATTAACCAGACTCCTTGTGGACATCAACAAAGATGTAGAGGGTCCCCGAAAAAATCATATCACCAAGAAACGCAAGCCAAGAATTCAGGCCAAAAATCGCTGGTTCGATGCAAAATGCATTATACTAAAACGAGAAGTCAACAAGCTTGCCAGAAAATATGGAAAACAGCCTAGAAACGATGTTATACGCATTGAGTACTACGCTAAGAAAAAGGAATACAAGCGTCTCATCAAGCATAAAAAATACCTGTTCTACAAAGAAATAAATGAAGACATCTTGCAAGACGGGCATATCTCATGGAAGGACTTCAATAAACTTAAAGATGCCAATAAAGAAAAGTCCGTACTTGACCTCTTCGATATAGAGAACTTTTATAAATTCTTTAAAGATCTGTACAAGACCAAAACAGTACCTAAAGAATTGGTGAAACTGAATGATGAAAGTGAAATCATCATCGACACTGAAATCCTTAACAGAGATATCGACCAGGAAGAAATGAAGAAAGGCATCAAATGCTTACAAAATGGAAAGGCAGCGGGTATCGACTTAATTCTTAATGAGTTCCTCAAAACATCGACGGACGAAGTTGTGAAACTCATTCAAAAACTCTTTAATGAATGTCTTAAGTTTGGTGTATACCCTTGGAACACCACTATCGTTACCCCTCTCCACAAAAAAGGTTGTCCACATGACCCGGATAACTATCGAGCAATCGCCGTGGGCAGCAATTTGGGCAAGTTATTTTCAAATATTTTGCTCAGTCGACTTCTCGAATTCAGAGCTGTACATTGCCCCGAATCACAGAACCAGAGAGGATTTTGCAAGGGGGCCCAAACCTCTGATCATATTTTCACACTTAACACCTGTATTGAAAAATATGTAAAAGTCCAACGGAAAAGAATCTACAGCTGTTTTGTAGACTTTCAGAAAGCGTTCGACACGGTATCAAGAGAAGCACTATTGTACAAACTAAATAAGCTTGGCATGCAGGGGCGGTTTTTTGACTGCCTCCAATACATGTACAGAAACTCAAAAGCAAGGCTTAAAATGGTTAAAAAGCTCTCAGCTTGTTTTGACGTTAATGCAGGAACGGAACAGGGCCACCCCTTGAGCCCAGAACTCTTCAAATGCTATATCTACGAACTCTCCCTCCAGATTAACGCCCTACCCGGAGTGGAAAGTCCCCAACTCAACAACCAACAGATTACTCACCTGCTTTGGGCGGACGATCTGGTCCTGCTAGCCCTTAACAAGGTCAGTCTTCAGCTAATGATTGACCAACTCCACATATTTTGCAATAACTGGGGATTGATTGTTAACATTAAGAAAACTGCGGTCATCATCTTCAATCCCTCAGGAAGGCAGTTACTCGAGAGTAAAACATTTACCTACGGCAGAAGTATTGTAATCCCCTCGGTCAAAAGCTACTGCTACCTAGGTACTCATTTCACAATATGTGGCAGTATGAAGCTTAACCAAGAGCAGCTCAGGATCAAAGGACTTCGAGCATACTTCTCCCTGAAAAAGACGGTTGATCTCTCCTCAATTTCTAAAGAGGCTGTGTTCAAACTCTTCGATGCCCTTATACTTCCTGTCGTCTCATACGGTAGTCAGGTGTGGCTCCCCTATACCAACATTCTCAGCAACATCTGCCAGAAGAAAACACAGTCTGACAAAGACACACTCAGTCAATTAGCGAATGACAGCATCGAGCGCCTGCATCTCTCGCTGCTAAAATGGACGACTGGGGTCAACAAGAGAACTTCAAATATCCCGATATGGGGAGACACAGGAAGATATCCCCTTGGAATACAATTGAGTAAGCTCTTTCTTGACTTCCACAACAGACTCGTCCTCCTTGACAGAAAAAACTCACCACAGATTGTTCGCCATGCTTTTGTAGAGCAAAGAAACCTAGAACTGACCTGGTTCCGAACATCAAGAGCGCTGACCGACGCATTTGACCCAGGAGCAATTAAACGAACAATTGTCTCGAAGAATGCTCCCATGCCGAACAGCCAACTCGTTCGGAGTAGAATGAGAAATTGGTTCCAAGAAAAGTGGGAAAAAGCTCGACTTGAAAACAAAAAGCTTACATTCTACAACGAAGTCAAAAGCAGCTTTGGATTAGAACCATACCTGTCTCTACCCAATCACAAGAAAACCCGATGTACTACATGGCTGAGGACAAGCTCCCACAAACTTAATATCGAGACGGGGCGATATGGCTGGAAAAACTCAAGCATCTTCTACAGAGCTTGCCACTTCTGCTGCAGCTCAGACAGAATCACCATAGACCTCCTGAACGAGCTCCCGTTTAGTGACATCATTAAAGAAGACGAAGTCCATTTGCTTAAAGAATGTCCTGTCTACAAGGAGATCAGACAAAGAAACAGCACAGACCTTCACAACATACTCACAAATAGTCAATTCAGTAAATTATTTAATGAAGATTACATTTTGGAGACCAGAAATTTTGTTTATAATCTATTTCGTGAAAGATTTCCTAAAAGTAAGCTATGACTTAGTATCCTTATTTCGTGCACAATTTGAAACCTTTTAATTATTTATTTAAGATATTATGTTTTTATTTTGTTTGGTTGTATAACTTTCATTTAACTGATTGGGATCTGACACATGTAATTTTGTAATGATCTTTCTAATTTCTAATTTCTAATTTCTAATTTCTAATTTCTAATAATTTCTATGTGTATATATCCGTGCCATTTTACTGACACCACGGCATCAACTTTAACGCGACTTTCCGCAAAAACCGTAAAACATATACAACTGAAACTTTTTTGACTGGGTCAAATGCTTTAATGGCCTTCAAATCAGCATGAAAAAAATAAAAAATTGGCCAAGGAATAATAATTTTAGTGCCCAAAATTTGGACTCTCAAGTGGTGTCAAAAACGCGAATTAAATAGGTAATAATTATTTTAGTCTCTCGAGTCTTGACACCACTTTAGGGTTAGACGGGTTCCTGCTAGTATTATGTAAATGTTCAGGGCCCTTCTGTAAAAACATTAAGAATACATCTAATGATGCTACTATCAATATCATATTATGTAAATGTTCAGGGCCCTTCTGTAAAAACATTAAGAATACATCTAATGATGCTACTATCAATATCATATTATGTAAATGTTCAGGGCCCTTCTGTAAAAACATTAAGAATACATCTAATGATGCTACTATCAATATCATATTATGTAAATGTTCAGGGCCCTTCTGTAAAAACATTAAGAATACATCTAATGATGCTACTATCAATATCATATTATGTAAATGTTCAGGGCCCTTCTGTAAAAACATTAAGAATACATCTAATGATGCTACTATCAATATCATATTATGTAAATGTTCAGGGCCCTTCTGTAAAAACATTAAGAATACATCTAATGATGCTACTATCAATATCATATTATGTAAATGTTCAGGGCCCTTCTGTAAAAACATTAAGAATCATAGGCGAGTGATTTAATTGGATTTTTGACCGTAGAAAAAATATGTTGGATTGTTTTCTAAACTAATTATCAAACAGTTCAGCTAATCACAGTGCTGGCAAGCACGAGCGGTGTCTTTATTTGGGGTATACTATGTACCCCCTTTACTATTGTACCCCCTTTACTATTATACCCCCTTAACTATTATACCCCCTCTACTATTATACCCCCTTTGGTACACGTTGGAAGCCTCTTTCGTGCACGCGAAGCGTGCACTCCGGCCGGCGGCCGAAGGCCGCCGCCTCCGGCAGGAGTTTTTCAGGCATTAAGACTAATCGGAAGTCGTTCAGCAGATTTATTTTTAGTTCAAAACATTCTTAGTACAGTCAAATCCGTCCTAATTTAAGCCTTTGTCGGACAAAATTCGCAACAAAGCGATTTTAACGGGATATGGTCGGGACAGGTCCCAGGAATCATTCCAGAGAGTTCCCAAAATCCTCGACTTCAGGAAAATCCACAATTACCACTTTTTTACCACCTTTTTACCACTTTGGTTTTCTGCAAATAAGTCACGTTCTGAATATCCTAGAAGATTCTAGTTTAAAGCATTGTGTTTAGAAAACAAAGAAGAACAACTTTTCCTTTAACAACTTTTTCAAAAATAAATTATTTAATTAATAAATTAAATAATTAATAAAATTTCAAATATTTCAAAAATATATTTTCATAAAAAATGTTCACAATTACATTCCACGTGCAATGAACTAATTTTTATAAAAATTTTCACTTTCAATATTTTGGACTTGTAAAATTTTCGAAATTCGTAAAGAATAACCACTATTTATCACTTTTTACCACATTGAATCTCCGCTAATAAAACGACTTCTGAATGTCGTCGAAGGTTCTAGATTGAACCAATGTGTTCAAAATATAAAAGAGAACAACTTTTTATCTGACAACCTTTGGATTAGATAATTAATTGATTTATTAATTAAATAATAATTAAATTTTTAAAAATTTCAAAATATACTTTTTATCAAAAATATTTGCCGTGACGTAAAATGAATTTACTTGAATAACAGAACATACACCGTCACATAGATTAGATAACAGATTTAAAAAATTCAGATAAATGGAATAAACGGTAAAATATCAAAATTTGTACGATACTATTATAGCTTATTTATAAATATTTACACATCATATCTCTCGACTTACAGAAACATCAACTGGATTAGACCACAGAACTGCCTCTCTGCAAATCAAAACATCTGCAAAACGATGTGCGAAACGGATTGAAAATGACGAAGTTATCAAGCAATTTGTTTATCTCGTTAGCGAAATTGATTGGGTTATCAATGATTACCTAATTGCTTATCACGTGACAGGGTGCTAGGATACCGTAATTGGGCTTTCTGCACGATTTCTGTGCCACGCTTTCACTGGATCAGACACCACCAGTCGGATCCACGGAGTTGGTAAGGATCGGCTATTCAGAACGATTCCGATAGTGGGAATCTAGTGCACTAAGCTACGGAGAAAGTCACGAGAAATTTTTGGGCGAGCGAATTAGGAACTTAGTAAGAGCCTAACGTATGTGTACTATACCACCTCCCCCCTCCCCCGCACAATAATTTACCCTGTCTGTAATCCGGTTTGAGGATTTATCATTTAGTGCGATCTCTACGTTACAGAATGGACATTTGTTTAAACTGTGTTCGCGGACTAAAGATGGTCCTGTCTCAGTTACAACGAACTCCTCTTCATTGGCCGATATAATAGTTAACAGCACTATGTTTACAGTATGCACTGAAGGGGTATCCTAGTTGCTTGAACTTTTAACAGGTGCCCCGCCTCATTTAAACCTCAATTAAGTTTCCTATCATTCGGTTGAGTCGACCGTTGAGATCCCTTAGATCCAATGGATCCTTAGCTACTCCCTAGACTAGGTGACACTGGGATTCGAACCCTGAACCTCTGCGCAGAAGGCGGATGCTCTAACCGCTAGGCTAGATATGAATCTTTGGAACTGGTCTATGGTCACTGTCTGCAATAATACACACAAGACGTCACTCAGAGCTGAATCAGTCATGCCGTTGTACTGCCGTTTAATTTCGTTCAGTGACCAGGGGTTGTTGATCCAACCTGTGGTGCGTTGATTTCTTTATTTATACAAGGTATGAGAGGCGTCAGGATAAAGAATAGGACTGTACGTATCCGTTTCAAATTTGCTGGGCATAGTTTAAAAGTTAGTGCACTTACTTAAAAGATAAATAGTTTAAATAGTACCTGAGGACAGCAACCCTTTCCATATTTCATTCCATGCAAATTTACATTGTCGATCATTCGCCCTCTTAAAGCTATTCACCGAAACTAACTCCTCATTTGCCTGGTAAATTAAAACATTGTATTGGTTAAGAATAGCTGATTTCATAAAAATCGAGATCACTAGATGAAGCAAGACTTTCAGT